TTCTTTTTTTTTTTTTTTTTTTGCGCTCAATAATTATTCAATTTCTTGAAAATATGGCAAACCAAAGAATGTGGTATATCATACATGTTAGTCTAATACATGCAATTTCTATCCTTCTTTCAACAGATATTGTAGTATGAACTACATAACCAACGATAAAAACATATTTCAACAACCATACATTTGGATAACAGATAAATAAAAAAAAAGGAATATAACCTTTTTTTTTTTTAATCTACTACATTGCGAGCATGAAGTGGTTGTTGAGTCATCGTTGTGTATTGTCCAGGTACTATCTGGGATGGAGTATAGTTTTCTCCAGTTGCTGTATCACTGCGTGGATGATGCGCAGAATGGTGCATGGTGTAAATACCGTAACGTATATCAAAAATACTCCTCTTGCTATGATCTTTATTAACTTCCGCTTGACCAAATCGATCCATAAATGAATCAGAGTACTCAGTACCCCAATTTCCGTCATGTCGCATCAATCGTCTTTGAGTTACCCGAGTAACAGTCTCTTCATGTGCAGGAGTTAATGTGTGGTATGTTCTCGGGAGTGGAGCAGTGGCATGACGTTCATTACTTGCAACAGCTCCTGGAATATCATAAGGGGCATGACAATCATGTGTAGTACTCATAAGTTCACTTGCAGACCAAGGTTGATAACCCTTTGGTAATGAACTTGTATTCATATTTTCCATTTTTTGTTTTAAAGAATATTTATCTACATTTTTCTCTCTCTGTATCATTGTTGCCGTTTTTTCACGTCGTATAGGTCCTTCCTTCTCCACCAAATTATATCGACTTTTGTAAACAGGTAATGTAGAGTCACTGTATGGATCTTTCGGGTCTCTTTGCATAACCCAGTAGGAAGAGGGATCAATGCCACTCATGTCACAATAATCCCATGAGGTTGGACGGTATGGATCTGGTACTCCGGTTTCAAGTGTGGCGCCCTTCAAATCATCCCGATTCTTCGTCGCATCTTCCACATCTTCTTCACCTTTTCTAAGGGCATCAAGTACATCAGGATCGAACGTTCCTTTTCCAATAGTTCGGTTCTGTGTCGTTGTGGTTTCCATTAGATATGGTTTATTTCCATCAGTGCCGTCTCCAGCGCGAAGTGTTAGACTTGCCTCCAGCGCACGCATTTGCGAAGCATTCAACTGAGGTTTAACCTCTGAACCATCCCCTTTAAGGCGATGCATTCCAATTAGTGTATAGTCCAGTGTCCGTGGTAAACTTGTTTTGTCTTCTGGGAAAGGTACCAGTTTTCGGCTAATTTCCATCTCAAAACGATGCGGCTTTTTCCTTGCAACATCATCAGGCTCACGAGGCGGAACCTCACCCGTAACTCCCCAGTAAGCACTGGAAGCAAAACCTTCTTTAACCTGCGACGCCAGAAACTCCTTTACGGCAGCATCGTCTGGGAAGGACTTTAAAGTGCCAAGCGAACTCTGCGTTGCGCTACCGTTTTGAAGGGTACTGTCATTCATTTTCGCTTTGCGTTTTACGCTTTCTAAAGAAATTACAAGAAATATAAAGAGAAATATATATATAGGTATACATATATACATGTAGATTACTTATTTATTGTGAAGAGTAACAGAAACAAAAAAAAACCAGAATCATATAAATAATAATAATAAAAAAACCCATGTCCTTTTTTTTTTTCATTTTTTTTCTTTCATAGCTGACACAGCTAATCTTTTGAGAAATATTGATCTAGCAAGTAATGATACCCGTACATAAATATGAACTGAGGTGCTCAGTTAGACACCAAGCCTATTGCCCTCGTTTTTCATTGACACTGAAATTCCTCTAGCAACTCTAACTGCTCCTTCTGAAATTTCTCTAAAGAATTTACAAGAGATTCTACTTCACGAAGTGTACGTTCTGTTTCTTCGCGACGTCTTTGAACTTGTCTGAGTTCCTGTTCCAAGACACGATTGCTTTCCTTCTGAATAGCAAATGCATCTTGTTCTTGGCCAATTGCACTTATAATCATATTCATAACTTTCTGAATTTTATAATCAGAGTCTTGTCGAGTATCATGAAGACGTGTTTCAGGTTGATCAAAGAGACACACACACGGTGCATTTGATGAAGAAAAAGAATATTTGTTACTCATATCAGATGTAGAAGCTCCACTCACCTCGTGATGCTGTGAAAATGAAGGATTTGGGGGTCTGAAAGTACCGGTAGAAATCTGTTGAGCCCATGGGTTTGTGGGACCCAGTGATGGAGAGACGTACTGTGGTGAGGAGCGTTGTGTTGGTGCAGAAGCAGCCATTGGAGAAGAGCAAGATTTCAACAACACTAACCTCACAACAAAGGTAGATCTGTGAACAAAACAGAATGAAAAACAAGGCAGAGTATGAGTACATATAAAGACATGTATTTCACAGTCTGTTTCATTTCTGTAAATGTAAATAAAATTCCAACAATTAGTCTCTCTCTTTCTCTTTCTCTTTCTCTATGTCTCTGTAAAATACGTATATAATTCTTTCTCTTTTTTTTATTACTTTCATTTTTTTTTTCTTAAGGTGATTCCACCCTCCCTCCTCCACCCCACTATACACCCACTCCTATTCTTCCCCAAGCAGGGAGTTCGTAGTTATTACTTTTTAATCGTTCTACGTTGTCCTGTCAACTTTCCTTTCATTTTCAGTAATTTTTTCTTTCTCTGGAACATAATTCAATCGAGAAAGTAACTCTCGAAGTCGTGAAGTGGCCATCGCCGCACCAGAGTTTCCTTTCGTTGCTGCTCGTAGAATAGCATCACCAAATTCCTTCTTTCGCTGACAAATCTCATAACAATATTGCTCAATAGTATCTTCAATAATTATACGAGTTACATAAACATGTTTTCTCTGTCCAATACGATAACAACGATGAACTGCCTGCTCTTCAATAGCAGGGTTCCACCATGGGTCAACTACTAAGACATGATTTGCAGCAGTAAGATTTAGACCTACACCTGTCGCAGTCTTACTTGCAAGAACAACACGAACATCTTCACTTGTCTGAAAACGACGAATAACAATGTTACGATTACTTAAACTCATTGTACCATCCAGACGCAAATGAGGTATGTCAACCTTATCAAGTGCTACAGATATAACATCCATAAAGGAAGTAAAATGTGAAAAAATAATCATCTTATCATCTGGATATTCTGTCCTCATAGTATTTATACAATCCAAAATCATTTGTAATTTTGTGCTCACCTCCAATTCACGTTTTTTAAATTTCATAATACGTTCAGATGAGGATAGAGAATAATTTTTAAACAATGAAGAACTATTAATACTAGTTCCACATGTTGGACAAGGTAATCTTGCAGCCATATCATCTCCATCTACAGCATCACGAAAACGAGAGAGAAGACATTCATGACAGAAATGATGACCACATTTAGTCTCTAAAGCAGCCACAGCTTCACTTTTACAAATACCACATACTGAAACAGTTAATGCACGTCCTTCACTAATCCAAAAGTGACAACAAGCCTGTCTTAAACGAGTCATCATAGCAAAAATATGAAATGCACCTTCCTTATGTTCTGAAGTTGCTAATGCTGTCCTTGATCGAGCAAGAATACTATTATATTGTTTCGATTCTTCAGGAGTAAATCGTTTCATAACAACAGTTTCAGATTTAGGAGGTAATGATACTAAAACTTCTTTTTTTCCATTACGAATCATAACTGGTCCACGTCGTAAAAAGGCTGGTTGTAGTGAACGTGCTATTGCTCGTTGTAAAACAGGATCATTTAAAACTTCTTCTGGATTAGATCCCGGAAGCACAGGAAGACGTGGTAAACCAACGAAATGAAGAAGATTTTGAATATCTTCAATTGTATTGTGAAGAGGAGTTGCCGTAACAGCCCAACGATGTATACCTTGTAATTCTTTTACTGCACGCCATCTTTGTGTCCTAGCGTGACGAACCATATGTGCTTCATCTAGTATAATACGCTTCCATCGAACATGAAATATAGGTCCAGCATCTTTTCGATTAAATGTTAAATTATTGTCATCGAACATAGGTACCAAAGCATCCAATGCAGAATTTGTTAAAGTATCATAAGTAGTAATTACAAAATCATATAATTCCAATTCTGTGCTACTAATTAGTTTATTTTGACCATGATATAAATAAACTCTTAGCTTTCTTGAAGAACTAACTTTAGATTCTATTTCACTTTTCCATTGAAGCATAAGAGCTGCAGGAACAATTACAAGAGTTCGAAGTTCTTTTGACGCAATTAAATCAAATGAACGCTTTTCTTCATCATCCAAAAAGTCCATTGCACGTTTTTCATATGAAGGATGAAATTTACTAGTAAATTTTAACCACTTATTAACTTCTTCTCGTGTTTCATATAAGGAACTATCAGGTTCAGTAGACATTTTTTCTACTTTATTCATAAGAACACGGAGATCCATCGCGGGTCTATTAATTTTTGAACAATTTGCTACAACACTAATTCGTTGCAATTGTCGAATTACAGTTAGCAAACGATAACAGAGAGCCTTAGATTCCATACTTTTACGATGTAATTCACGAGCATCTTTGTTATATTGTTCTGATGAAAGACATAAACCAATCATTTGAACTGTTTTCCCCATTCCTAAATGATCAGCCATGATGCCACCTACATGATCACGTTCACGTAACATCATCCAGTAAACTCCTTCCTTTTGAAATGGTAGAAGAGGAGTCTGTAAATCTGGAACCTCAATTTTTTCAAACTCATCATACTGAAAGGAGGAATAAAATCCCTGAACGGATGCCGAATCGTTACTAGGAAGCACAGCCTGTTGTACAACTCGTAAAAGATTTGTCTTTCGAAACAACCAACATCTAGAGACACGCATCCGTCTCAGTTCTTTTTACAAACAATAGAACCAATACAAAAAAAAGAAATAAAAGCAAGAGAGAAAAAAAGAGTCAACTCAAAAAGGAGCATAAAAAAAGAAAAAAATAAACAAGAAGAACTACATAACACATTATTCATACCAAAACTAACCACGATAAATCATAGCGAAAACAATCAATAAGTGAAAAAAAAAGGAAGGAAATAAGGAGAGAAAAAAAAAAGAAAAAAATCTTTCCAACCTATTTCACCTCCGGCAGCAAAGACAAAGATATGCAAGAGTAAGCAAAAAAAAAAACAAAAACAAAAAAAAGGTCCCAACATAATGGTAAAAAGAAAGAAAAACACGTATTCAAGAGAAACTAATAATAATGTGCATTACTTTCTCCCGACTCTGCGATTGCTTTATCAACATTCTTTTTTACCACTGAATCCGCTTTAGTTCTCAAAAAATCTTCAACCAAGAGAGTATCCTCATCATCATCATCAGGTAGTTCAAACACAGTCCATGAGTAAGAAATACAATTCAAAGCAAAAGATTCTTTCGGGCGTTCCAAAGAAGAAGGGATTCTGATATCACCACCATTATCATTATCATCGTTAAAGCTAGCTTTTCTCATATTGATAGACCTTTTAAAAGTAATATCTCGTTTCTCTTGTTGAGCTCGTAAAGAGGTTATCAGTTTTCCCATTTTTTCCTCAGAAAAGATGCTATTTAGCTGACAAGAAGAAAAAGACGGTGAAAATCTTCTTGAACTCCCTTTAAACGAAAATAATACCGATGAATTTGGCTTCGAGAAGACATCTTCTCGGTATACTAAAGGAGACCGTTTTCGACGACGGGCTGTAAAGGGTTGAGAATCAAGTTGTCCTTGGTGTGCACTACTAGAACCTCGCCATAATGACTGACACATATCCAATAGGTGATAGTGACGAGAAGAAGGCGATAAAAAAGTGTAATACCGAATAAGCTGATCAAATAATTTAGACATTACCTCTGCAGATAATTCCACGGTCAATCTAGTTGTTGGTTCACCCAAAAAATATAGATTGAGAGATTTTTTCAACGCCAAAAATAGACAAATAGCTGCAAACTCGCTAAAGGTCCCACTGCAAAGAATATGATAATCAAGAAAATGATTTTCTGAAATCCTTCCAGGAATATCACCATTGATTGTCTCTATTAAAACTGAAACAATACTAATACAATTCTCAACACTTCGCCGAAATAAAGATTCTGCAGTAATAAGTTTAGACTCTACAGAGGAATTTTTAGAAGCATCTATAGAAAGAAAAGTCTCACTCCATAAAGGCCATAAAAAACTTTCGTTTAAAGCAGAAGTCGAAAAAACTTCCTTATTATTATTATTATTATTATTCTCTTCACTACTCTTCATTATTGAATTTATTACATTATGATAGTGAGTCCATTCATGTTTGCTACTGACACTCTTTTGTATTATCCAAATGATTCTATCCCTTAATGAACTTATACCACAAATTTTATTAAATTGGTTCCATATGACTTCCTGACCAAAGGGAATAATTCCACTTTTTGTTGCGAAGCACTTAGCAACATGTTCTCTAGCATCTAACCAATACCTTGAAATAGAAGGACCTTCAATATGAGTTGCAGATCCAAACCAGTTATCAAAAGTAGATAGTGAAATATAGGCTCCTGTACTTTCTAAGACAAATGCTTGTACTAAAACAGCTAATATTGTAGCTATATGTGGACGTTTAGGAGGATCTAGAGGTACATTAGAACGAGCAAATGAGACTGGAACACATCTCTCATCGATAAGCTGAAAATGATGCGTCATAGAACCCACTCGTTCAGAGATTGATGGTACCAAATATTCCAAATCATAGATTCTTAGACCATTTTTCCGCTCTTCTTCAGACTGTATCCTAGAGCTCTTGACGTAATAAATATCAACAAGTTCTGCCACAAATCGAGCTAAAGGCCGCACTTGCTGATCATCTCTTGCCATTTCTTCGCTTCGAGACCTCTTTAATGGGTTTACATAATCCGATTCATAGTCGTCAAACATCACTACAAAATCAAAAATAAAATATCAGCAATAAAAAGTCAGAAGAGCATAAAAAAAAAAAAAAAAAAAAAAACAGAGAAACTGTGCTCCCCAAAAAACAGAAGAACAGTAAAAAAAAAATGAAGAATATAAAAATTTCGAAGCTCACCCCCGAAGCGCATCCGGAAAGAAAATCATAACACAATTTGAGAAGCGCCGTACGTCGTCCCCAACGCCACGGCGCTCGAATGAGGAAAATTAAAGCGCCGGCGCCCCACCAAACCCCGCCGACGCCCGAGACACACAACGGCGACGGCACGCGGAGGAAGGGGGGCCACCGATATGGCCGGCGCCGGAGGGAATTCCCGCCGTTACCGTGGCGGTTTCGTCTTGCGCTCGTGGGCGTTCGGCGCGAGGGAGGGTCCTTTCTCCATTTCCTGTTGGTCTTGTTTTTTTTATTCAACGTTTAGCGCGTGGCGCGGCCGTATTTTTGCGCCGGCGGGGGCGATTATGTTGTTGACGTGCGGGTGTATTGTTTTTTTTTTTTTTGTTACGGCGGTGGCGGGTGTTTGTTCCCGTTGGTTTTCTCCTTCGGGTTCGAAAAGGTGAGATGGTGTTCTTAAATTTTTTTTTCTTTTTTTTTTTTTTTTTCCGTTTC